ATTTTGCAAAGACTAAGATGGGAACATTTTCCAGAAACAAGAGGTCTGATAAAATTCTCAGGGATATTACTTAATTCCTAATATAAACTAAATGAGGTGAGCTTTCCACTTCAAACCACCTAGATTTTTTCTAGGCTTGTTCTGCATGTGATAAATATCAAGTGTTATTCACAATTCATGGACAGGAGAGGAGACTCCAGTGACTAGAATGGGAGGTGAAAAAAAGAGAAAAAAATAAGAATAATACATGTTTATTATAGCACATGGGTTCAATTCTCTTAAGTAAGGTTCTGGAAGTAAATCAAAATGAGGGAAAATAAGAAGTGAAGCTTTAGTATTTCTTTATCTGGTTTATCTCAAATCAGAATCACCATTCTATCAAAGCAGAAGAGGTATACCTGTTTGTGATTCTAATCAGTGTCTGCCTGAGGTAGCATTGCCTCTTCCTAAAGAAAATTTAAGTACTTACAACCCTAATTTTACTCACTGCACTAGTATGCTTCCAACTGGGATAATGTCCATCAAACCATCTGCATGTCTCTCTTTGCTCAGGCTGCACCTGCTGGGCTCCCTGTAACACTGCAGCATCTCTGAAACTATATGCCTGAACACAGCCCTCATCCTAATTAACTCAAAAATTGCATCCCAACAGATGTAATAAAATGTCTCAAACAGACCAAGCCAGATTGGAGATAACATATTTTGCAACACTCTATATCAAATCAATATTTTGTTCTCCTATCTGGAAAGCATTAAATATTTCCTTGTGCTTGAAAAATAGTTGAACAGTAGAGTGAAAACTAAAGCAATTTGGACAGACAGATATCAAAAGAATTGTTTGCGATTCTTGTGTTTTATCCCTTTGCTAATTGTTCCAGTTTAAATTCTAACATAACAGCCAAGACAAAGATCTACGCCACAAAGATAACAGCAAAACTGTAATTTGTGAGGGTTGATTCTACTTTGATAAATATTTAGAAGGCCATTATGTAAAAGCCAGGGGCAACTCTCTCCATTATCAGTGAAGAAACCTGCCTTCTCAACAGATCCCAAAACACCTGTTAGAAAACAAAAGGAGAATGTCTTGGTCCTAATATGCACATGGATATATTGGATTTAAATAAATAATAGGTTTGGTTGCTACAGTTCTTTGAACCACATCCCATTCATTTCAATAAATCTTGCTAATGAGAATTATGCGAAAATATTCCTTGGGAAAAAAATCACTTTCACTTTTAGCCCCTGCCAAAGAGCCTGATATAATAAGATTAAGAATAAATAGGCTGGATGGGATGCTAATTCGTTAATTCATAATCCACATGTAGAATTGCTGCAGAACAAAGCAAAGAGCTTATTCAAGAATGTATAGCAAAGAGAACTATCCATTCTTAAATAATGTATGCTGCATAATTGCCTCATCACTCTGGACTAAGAAAAAATATTTATGACAGTTTATAAATAATACTGATATTTTCAGGCATAATGCCAAGCTATGGTCTGTTATTATTCAAGAAAGCTATAAACTCCCTCAACCTTTCTCTTGATTTTATGTCAATTAATTGCTCCTTCTATATAATAAACTGTTTACATCCAAACTAGGAAAATATATGCCCTCCAAACCAGCATTGCAAGTTAATTTCTAATATGGCTTCAAACTATTATCTGAGCTAAAATGGGAAAAATTAACTCAACCAGAGGTTGCAAGTGATTCCAAAACCACTTGGAATCTGAATGCTGTGGTGCCAATAAACAATAAATAAAAACCAGAAAACATGGTCAAACTTTATCATTTGCTTTAACCAATAAATCTGCATTGTCATGAATTCATGTCACCAAATATGCCAGTTATTAGGGCGGAGGGGAAGTATTGACAACACTTCATGAGTGGACCAAGATTCAAAACCCATCTGTAAAAAGACTTCAAAATGATAGAATAGAATAGAATAACAGAGTTGGAAGGTATCTTGGATGTCTTCTAGTCCAACCCCCACCCTATACCACTTCAAATGGTTATCCCACATCCAACAACATGATGTTTGAGAGTGAGGGAACGTTTAATCATTTATCATCTAAACAACTTTTATTTAATTACTTGTTTATTATATCAAGATTATACTTTGGAATGGTAGTTTCCAGGGAGTAGTTTACAAGAGAGTCCAGCCTGAAATTTGTGAAAGACGAAGATTAAATGTAAGCCTACCAGACTGTAGAGCTATGTTTAGGTTGCTGGAGCCTGCAGAGTAATATTAAGATGCTGCACAGGAAGGAAACTCATCAGCAAGCAGCTTAATCTGTCTAAATATTTTCACTACGTGCATGGCACTCAGCCTTCATTCAAGGTACAGGAATGAAGACTATTTCTGGAGAAGCTTTTGCACATCAAACTACAAAATAATATTTTTATGCCCATCATTCTCTCTTCTTCTTTTCTAACTTCAGGATTCAGTTAATGTATAATAAAAAAGTTAATACTGCAAGAGGAGAGGGAGAAGAGTACAAAGGAACAGAAATCTTAGAATAAAGAGAGTATAGATGTGCTTGTGTGTGTGAGTACACACATGTGTATATATAATAAATTACCATAATGGACAAACAGCAATTCTGAGATTCTAAATATAGCACAATATAAGAAACTGGCAAAATATAGTACAATATAGGAAACCAGAATTCAAACTTCAACTTTCTGGGGGGCAAAAGTGGACAGTTTGAGAACAAACTCACATACACTGAAATCTTTACCATATTTACTGAAAATGATAGTGGACTCAGTTGTAAGCCTTATTTTCTTCTTCCCAATGAACCTATTAGGGAAACTGTCTTTACAACTGTGCATACAACTGTCAACGGAAAAACTGAAAAATGAGGAAAATATTTAGTGATCTAGATCGGGGAAGGACAACTTTGAGGGGTGGCCAAGGATTCTATTTAACTATTACTGCTGCTGCTTCTTTTTTTAATAGAGCAAAGGCCACAGTATATAGAATAATGAAGTAAATTCAAAAAAATGTGGGAAGGCTGTAACACATGGGAGCAAACCTATGCTACTTTTTTAAACCTGTGTTTGGGGGAGGTTTAGAAGCAGTAAATCATATTGCTGGTTTACTGCTGCAGTGGTCATATGAAGCTCTGAAGCCCATAAAGGAAAGAGATCACATGCAACTTTGGGGATCAGGTCGTTTAATTTTAAACACTTCATCTCAAAGTATGAATGCACCGCAGGCCATGAGCAATGATTCTGAAACACTCAACCCAATCATTCTTCCTAATAGTTTAGAGTCAGTCAGCAATTGAGCACAGAAGGTTCATTGATTCCACTACTAATTTTTACATACTGTTAAAGCTGCAACATTAAAGATGCCAAATGCACCACAAAGCCAAGGAAAGACAGCATTACTGTATTATTATAGACTATTATTGCTTTCATAGAATACTCAACCTACTGTTTCCATAAAGACACATTTTCTTCCATCCCTGGTTTAAAATATTACCTTATGAATTATAGGTGCAATATCTCAGAGATACAGGCCATAATTAATGCCTGCACGCCTTTCCTTCTGCTGGATCAAACTGTTACTGAAACTCAGTACAAAAGAAACCTTCAGTGGTATAAAGATTCTGGAGAAACAGGCCTAGACACAATTTAATAAAACAATACTTCCTTTAAATAATTAACCAGGCTATGGCATTTCTTAATATTACCAAGGCTTTCTTCCTGTTTCAGCATTATTACTGTGTGTCACCCATCCTCCCAAAGCGTGCTTTTCATAGTAATAAACTAGTCAGGAGTGCAGGAACAAAGTTTAAGATGCACAGAGTACCCTGAAGGAAAACTGTATTTATTGCTTCAGGTTTGTTTCTTCTTTGCCATCTGCATGATTTACTTACCATCTGCCACTGCCATGATTGTAGCAATAAAAATCCGATGAACTTTTAAAAAAGATTTTTGTTTTATCACTCTTTTCCCTAATTATTGCGTTTAATGCTTGATTGTTACCAACTAACAGCCGAATGTCAAAGTAAATTCATGACAAACATAGAAGTATGAAGAAGGTAATCTCTGGATAAACTGCAGTAGACAAGCAAACTCCTTAGTCTGTCACCTGATTAACTACAACAGCAAAAAAATATCTCTTTTAACATCTTAAATTATACTTCTAAAATCAAGATAGATGGTTGATTTTTCCATAGAAAGAATGAAATTAGTTCAAATACTGAGCTAATTTTCAGTTGTTTTTTTTAAGCAGGCAGTGTATTTTTCACATGCAGCTTCAACTGGTATATCACAAGTTTGGAATAAAATGAACTGGATCCCAAGCTGAAAATTTACACATGCCTGCTTTGGTAAAATCTTTTACTATATACTGAAATATTGGTAAAGCAGGACGAGTGAACATATTTGCTAAAAATCACACTCATTTATAAAATGCCAACATACAACGAGCAGTCCTACTTTAACTGCTGAAGTATATGAAGCATCTAATATTTATTGGACCCAAGTAGCAATATTAATAAAATTTAGTTGCTTTTCCAAGGTGGTCTGACAACCCTTTTCAAGCTTTCATCACTTTATTAGTATTGTAAATATTTCTGGCCTGGAAAAGAAGAGCTACTTAAGTTATTGCCTTGTACAGGAAAAGAGGAAAATTAGGAAGGAAGCATTAGTTAGCCAAAGCTAACACTCAACAGGATACTGTGCCTGAAGTGCAGTATGTAGACAGCCTGATAAATATGAGTTGAGGCTGAGGTAATTTCCATTGAAAAGTATCATTAATTTTCCACCACCTATGTGTTTCTCAAGGGACTACTACAGTACAAGGCTGACCTACTGAAAGGTATAAAGTTAACAAACTTCCAGGAGAAAAAAAAAAGGGGGAAGAGAAAGAGGCTGAAAACAGTAGCAGATTATACCCTTAAAATTTAAATCAATCATTCTTTCACAATGTTATTTTGTTTAAGAACAAAGCAAAATTCATACTGTGCCTTTGGTTAGTGACACCTACCAGATAAATCCTGTAAGCATCAATCCTCCTGATTGGCCCCCAGCATTTGTCTGTGTCATTATACTTTGTCCCATCTTCCACACTGCATGAATGATTGCCAGTCACAGTACTAACAAAAAGAAGCAAAGCAAAATATTAATATTCATCTGAATATGTGAGGAAACCCTTCACATATTCCCTTCATAAATATACATTCTATCATACAAGTATGTCCAGGAAACAGTTGCAGATCAAATAATAACAGCATTTTAAGCAGAAGATGATGTAGCTAGTATGACAACTGCAACTATTCCTTAGCTAGTTGGTTATGGCAATGGTTTTCCATTCTGCAGTTACTTCTTATCATTGTAATGTATTCTATGTGGGCTGCCCTAGACAACATTCAGAAGATGTAATTCATGCCACAGTTGGATTACTAACTGGTATATTTAGCTTGCCTTGAATATTTGCATACATTGACAAATGTTTTTCAGGAATTCAAGTGCTGGTTTTCACTTTCCTAATTAGCTTGGGGCCTATCTGAGAAAACAATTTGAGCTGTAAACAAATATCCAGACACTAAAATTTGCCATTAGTTTTATATGTGTGTTATCAACTCTTAGCAACCATGTGGATAGATCTTCTCCAAGATAATCTGTCCTCAACCTTCAAGTCTCCCAATGGCATACCCATTGCCATTGTAACAGAGTCCTTCTCCTTTCCTGCTGATTATCATTATGAGCTGGATTCATGATATTTCTAACAATGGTTTTTAAGTACATTGTGGCTCTTTTAAGTTTTATATAGTCTGAAATTGACTTGAAAACTGGGATAGAAATTGAAGCAAGCACATCAATAAAAAGTCAAAACCATCAATATTTTAGCTTTTTTAGAAAATGAACACATCCACAATATTGTTAACAAATGCATACCTACCAAGTCACTTGCATGAGAGAAACTGGGACAGCAGCTGCATAGATTGCCAGATCACCATATAAATAGATGATTATACAGAAGTAAAACAAATTCACTCCCACTACAAAGAAGAAAAATGAAAAAAAGATAAACCATTGCAATTCACAAAATTGTATCACTTTTTTTAAAAAAGCTTAATATTTTAGTCATTTCTTGTTGAAAGTTGTTTTTTTAGAACCCATGGATGCTGAAATGAAACAGATCCAAAACACTGCTTGAAAAAAAGAATATAATCAATGCATAGTGGAATTAAACCTTACAGGAAAAAACATGGTACCCTATCTAGTATCTTAAAATCTGTTAACATTGTTTTCTATAATTAAGTATTTCAAAATGTTACATTAAATATAAGGCTCTCACTATGACAAACTTCCAGGCAGAAGTAAAGGATCTTACTGTGTGTGTGTGTGTGTGTGTGTGTGTGTGTGTGTGTGTGTGTGTGTTTCTAGAGTAGAATACCTGCTTCATTTGACTACAATTTGCATCTATTATTTCACTCAGAGTATATAAAAATTATGATAGGTACCGTATGATCATATTGAAATTTCATTTTATTAAAGCATACAGTAACCCTCTTTGATGGACTACAGTGTTCTGCCCCAGCTACGGATCCCAAAGAACACAGCACACACAAACTCTGAACAAAACTTAGTTTACTCAAATAACGCAGTTTTAGCAAATGCCGGCTGTTAATAAGCGTACTTAACAGCCTGCCAGAATTCCACAGATAAGATAGTCAGAGTCTTACTGGAGTTGGCAGAAAGCCCAGAATCAAGGTTGCAGAGAAATCTCAACGCGATGATTAGCGAACTAAAGTTGTTTCCTGCAGCTTGTTGCAAGCTGTGTTCTTTCTTAAATAGGCTAAGGGAGTGGCCAATTAGCCCCAAGCCTTACTCTCAAGGAGACCTTCTCCTGAGGAACCACTCCTGCCTTTTGGCAGCTCTGCGTGCCCATGCATTGAGAAGAGGCTCCTCCTCTTCATCCTCTTCACTTAAAGGAGCCTCTGGAGGTTCTGAAGGCCCTGACTGACTCCCTGCCTCTGGCACCACATCTTCTTCAGCCTCCTCGTTGTCCAACTCGAATGCTGGCTGCACAGGCTGCTGGCGCAGCACCACACCAGCCTCCTTGTCATCGGGATCAGCAACAATCCGCGCAAGCCGCTGGCGGGCCACAACATACAGGTAGGCCTTGGCTTCAGACTGGCTCGAAGTTCTACCTGGGGAGTACTTACAACTTGGATTCGAAATTCTGACGGTTGTCCATGTCTCCCCCCACCCCCCCCGCACTAATGTGATTTCACTTTGGGCAGCTGGCAATTGGGCCACATTTACAAACCCTGGCAGTCTTCCATGATGTGTTTTGCAACCGATTTGCTGAAAACCAACATTTACTTCCAGTTTCCAAAACTGGGTATGATTCTAATCTTGCCAAATTACCATATGATTTATAAAAGGCTATGATGCAATTCTTTTTCTTTACAATTTGGGGACAAAATTATTGGTATTCAAAGAAGCTTTATGGTCAGACATCAGGAAAGATAAAGAAATTCCAAAACACATCAGCTTGTTTTTCAAAAAGGAATTGAAATAACTCAATCTAAACATATTTCATTTTCAAAGTAATCAGGCCAAGGGCAGAAGGCATTAATTCAAAGACAGGAAGAAAAAAGGAATATAAGAAATACAAAAACGGAGTATATTCAGCTTGGCACTAGGAATGGTCTTCCACAATCTATTTGTGAGGATGGAATATATGTACACATAGTTATATACATATGCACAGACTGTACACATACACACATGCACAACTCTGTTAAAATATTAAGTATTCTTCAGTCAAGTTTAATGCTTGGTGATTTCATAAACATGTCTCTATATGTTTTGGGCAACATTTGCAAACCACCTATATCTAACCAGTTTTGAGGTACTGGATTAACTTTATCCATGCTCAGATAAATAAATGCAGAATTTAAATAAAAAGTAAATAAATTGCCAACTTTTTCTTCTGAGTTTTGGTTTCCAATCTAGCCTATGAATTATCCTTATTTTTTTTTATAGTCTCCCATTTGAGTATAAAACGCATCTTACTCAAGTTTTGAGATCAGCCAAGGTCACAGCTAGAAAAATACAAGTACTACAAGAAATGGCAACCTTCTTTTCTTGGCCAAAATAATGCCTTTTACATTAAAAAAAAATATCCCCAAACAGAAACAACATGGTGTACTCAGCCACTGCATGTCTACTAAATGGGGTCAAGGAAAAAGTCTTTTTATTTCTTCAGAACACTTTGCTCAAAAGATAAATGGAAATGAGCACTATTCACCTATGCTACTATTTAGCAGTATTAATTCTATAACTGCTTAGCAAATATTTTCCCCATCATAATTCGTCTCACTTCCTGAAAGAGGTTCCTACCGAATTATTTTATGAATCAGTACCAAAATTATGTCAAAGCCTGACCTGATGCAAAGCTTGGACAAGCAGTCATTTGTTTTAAGCATCTGGCTCGCTAGAAGGTGACAAGCTTTCTAGTTTCCTCCATGCATGATATACTGAAACATGATCAATGCCAATTATATGTATTTATTAAACAAATAATTATCTATGAACTACGCTAATCGCCAATATATTTATGCCTGCTGAGGTCTGTTGCCAGGCTGGTTTTTCACTTGACTTACAACATGTTCCTCTTTAGATACTTATTTGAGGGTTCCTTACGACTACCCAGAGATCAGACTTTGACTTCAACATCCAACTGAAACCAATGATGCTAGGTGAGAAGAGTCTGTGGCACACGCAAGTTCAAATTGTAACACTAGATGAAATTCACTTTCTACCTTCCGGGCAAGTGTCCTGTCAAAGCCTACTAAAATGTGTACCATCATGAATTAATGCATCACACAATATGCAAAAAGCACAGCGCATGCCAGTTTCAATTGCTAATTGTGTATTGCAATTAAGTGGGCAGTGCAGTAGAATACCATCCCATTTATAAAACCTCCATTCATTATATAACTTCAATTGAAAGAGTCATTAATTCATTTATTGCTAGCATTTCTATGCCATTGGAGAAATTGTTCTAAGCAATGATATTTCATAAAGAATAAGCCGAATAATTTTAGAGTATGCTAATAGATGGAAACCAGAAAAAAATCTTGTTTATACCTACAACATATTCTTCTTTCTCCTCTCCTCCTAAAAATATTTTGGTTCTTAAAAATTATTAAAACTGTTAGTGTAATTTAAGAGGAAAGCATAAAAAACAGTAAAAAAAAAACCACAAAATACTAGCCATCTGTTAATACTGATATGTCTATCAGTAGAATAAAAGCAAAACTATTTTTCTGCAGTAATAATCAGTAATTATGTCTCCACATTTAGATATTCATAATATTAAAATGAGACAAGAGCAGCATGGTAATCAAAAGCATACTTATTCCCAGCTTGGGCTTTACTATTATTTTTAAAGTAGTAAATAGATTAAAATATTCATTAATTCTTTAAGACCTATTGCAGCTTTTTCCCCAGCTAAATGTACAAACAACTGCAGCTATAAATGCTTATTAAAATCTTATTCAAAGAAAAAAAAATCAAATTCAAATTAATCTAAAACCAAATAAAACTTGAACATTAAAGTCATTATTCATGTATATTATTTATTAAACTATAATGGATTTTTGTCAGCCCTTTTGTAAATGCTAAATTGAATATATAGTCCCATTAGAGAAAAAATACTCTTAATTAGGAGAAAGAGAAATTAGTCTCATGAAACTCTGACAAGAAAATGAGTTTGGGCTAACATTCAAGTTTGAAATCAAGCTATGACTGCCTCAGCTAACAAGTTCAAGACAGCACTTTTACCTTTTTAGAACAGTTAGGTACTATCAGATTGATCCAACCTGGGTTTGTCACTGGGACCAGAGGTTTACTCTTTTGAACTTTCGGACTCGTGCTGGAGCCAATCAACAGGGAACTTCTCTCTACCAGAATGTGTGCTTTGGGCTATTCTATGCATAGTATTTATATGATGCCTGGCTGTGTGTGGCTTTTTAGTTGTTGATTGGGATGCTGATGGCCAACTATTAAATTGTTGCCTGTTTTTTCTTTGTGCTGCCAAGTTCTCGGCTCCTAATACCTGATAAGCTGGTGGTAAATCAACACTCCTGTTGACTGTCAAGGGGCCCATTTTCCAGGCTTCAATCATTTGCCTTTTTGGCTTTTTTTGTACCTGCCATTGCCTTCCATAGAAAAAATAAGTCCACCTTTAATATTTGATTATTACCCCCTCTGGCAGAAACAACTTCAAGTAGACATTTCTTATAACTGTCTACAGTTTCTGACATTGAATAGGAGTAGTTTTTTCCTCATTTTCCTCTTCATTCAGTTGTGCAATGTTGGGAGGGATTTCTTGCATGCACAAGTTGTTTCAAATCACTCCATAGAATCTTGATGGGATTTAGACCTAGGCTTTGACTTGACCATTCCAGAACCCTCCATTTCCCTTCTTTTTTTTTCAGCCATTCTTTGGTGGATTTACTAGAATGGTTATTGCCATTGTCATGTTGCAAGGTCCACTTTTAGTTAAGCTTTTGACAGATGATCTCACGTTATCCTCAAATACCCTCTGGCACAATGAACAATGGATTCTATGATGGACACCAAAGCACTCCATACCATAAAGCACGCCCCTGCCTGCTTTACAATCAGTTTCTTCTGGTAAAATGATAGCTTTGGCTTTTTGCATGTCTTCTGATATTGTGACCAAGTATCTCAATTCTTTAACTTGCATGTTCACAGCTTAGGTGTTCATGAGCAAACTTTAATTTTGCCCTCAAATACTTTCAGTAAGCAATGGTTTTCTCTTGGCACACCTCCCATGTAGATCTAATTTGTACAGCTTCTTTCTAATGGAAGTCTCATGAACTTTGACACCAATAGTAGTGAGATTTACCTACAGGTTATATGGTAAAATTCTGGGGGTTTTAGGCAGTGGTGGCTTGCCCCTGGTTCAGACTGGTTCTATAGAACCGGTAGTAAAACTGGCGGGAAGCTCCGCCCACTA